GTAAATATTCACAATACATCAATGCTACACATATTGAAATTTCGCTTGATTAGATCCGGTAGGAAAGGAGTTATTACTGAAAAGTACGAGTGAAGAAGCATTTGGCCGAATGCTTTTGAGCGCCACTGTATGTCCATACACATAAACATAAACGCAAAGCACATAATTACGCACATAAGCACGGTAAGAAGCAGTTGATTACAATATTTGAAATTATTACCGAGATAAATCCACAGGAACATCGAGGAAGTGATCGTTGAAGTTGGCATTCTGTTCGGGATCCAGTAGCTCAAGAAGGGCGCTTGCCGGATCCCCGTGGTATCCGGCACTACCAATCTTGTCCACTTCATCAATTAACACTAACGGATTCTCGGTTCGAACCTGGAACATAGTACAATAATCGAAACAAGGGAGCGATCGAAACGCGTTTCGCAAGTAGCCATCGCTACCATTGCCGGCACTCCTTGGCCTTGCGTTTGAAAACAGCACTGAGTGTCTCTGAATCGTCGTTAACGGAAGAGAGGGGTATATGAAAAGTGCTTGTGATGGAAACAGGTGTGGCCAAAGAAATTCCTTTTCAGAAGAAGAAATTTCGCTCGAAACTTCCGAAAGATCATATTTTCAATAGAAATGAAAATTTTAGTGTGATGTCTTCGAATCTTGCAACGTTCGCAATCCCAGGTTACTTCGCCAACGCGAAATTATGCGATTGCTCCCCAGTGACAGATTGCACCCAGATGACTTACTGAAAAATTAGATCCAGAAGTTTTAAATCTAGAAGTAAGGCGAGTTTTCTAAGAGTGATTATACGCCAAGAAAGCTGGGCACCTAAGGGTAAATATTCAAGGAAAAGACGGCCCAAGACATCTCCTTTCGCAAATGGAACCAATTACCTAACTGATGCCTGACTGTTTCACGATGACCTAAGACAAGGCAGCAACTGCTTGTGCGTTGTAATAAGAGCAAGCGCTACTTGCTAATCGTAGCTTCGAACGCTGTTTAACTGAACGAGAAATGGTTCAAGCTTCAAAGATATGACTAACTTTTTTCAAACACTGAATCATTTTGCCAGGCATTGCTCCTACATACGTTCTTCTGTGCCCTTTTATTTCAGCAACGTCTGTCATACCACCGACTGAGAAACGGAAGTACTGAAAACATAACAATTTGCTTGCCTTACTTAGTTTGAATAACTAACGAGGTAAAAATGGAGTACACTTGGGTAGTTTAACTCATGCGCGTACCTGCCGATTAAGCGCCTCAGCAATGGACCTTGCAATACTCGTTTTTCCTGTTCCCGGTGGCCCATGCAGACAAAGAATTTTACCTCCAACGTGTTTCCTGTAATCAACTGAGGGAAAAAATTCATAGCAAGAAGAAATCAGTACCTACTTCAATATGTTGACGGCAATGAATTCGAGTATCCGCTCCTTCACATCCTTCATTCCGTAATGACCGCTGTCCAGTGCAGCCCTTGCTTTCTGTAGGTCGCTATTTTCTTCCGAAGTGATTCCCCAAGGGATGTTTGTCAACCAGTCAAGATAGTTCCTGAATTCATATTCAAACTCGTTTTCCGAAGAAAAGTGCCGCTAGCGATAACTTTCCGAATACAAAAATGGAACTAAACTGAAACCATATACAAGACATACCTAGTTACACTGAACTCGCTGGAATGCGGATCGAGGAATTGTAACTTTTGCTGTTCCTCTTTGATTACCTGGAAATGGTTCGGCAGTAATACAGGGCAATGAGCCACTCGAAAAATCTATTCACAGAAATGCCAACCTTCATTGCGTACTCGGGAACTGTGAGATCTTTGAGTCGTTCCTCCATTTTTTCAATAATAGTCGACTTATCGTCCTTTTCCAATCCTAATTCCTTTTTAATCACTTTGAGCTACAAAATATCTAAGCAGTAAGGAAGGTAACTTGAACATTCAACATGTGATCCTCTACACAGCACTCTGCTAAATGGAATGAACCTGCTCATTGAGTAAATACTTCCTATGCTGATCTTGCACTTTCTTTTCAACATCCTTATTAATGTCAAACTTTAACTTCGCAACCGTTTTTTCTTTCTGTATGAGAACCAAAGCGAGATCTAGCCGCCTCGACACCTGAAATTATGGGCTAACTACTTTTGACTTATAACAACTGTAGTGACAGACGGATACTTCACTAACTTTGATTTCCTCCATCATTTCTTGAAGTTCTTTTGTATCAGCTGATTGCACAAGGGTAGCAACCAGATCACATAAGTACACTGGGTTTTCAATGACGTTCTGGGAAGGGTGTAATAGGAGGTTGATCTGCTGCCCAAAGAGAGCACTGTATTGCACGACGTCGCTAAAAACATAAATGCTTCCGATATGCAATACAAAAGCACATTAATCATTGAAAACAAAAACTTTGCCTAATGCGTAAGCCTGCTGAATTCTAAATGAGAAGCTGTTTTGAAATCATCATTGTAATGCGCACTAAATCGGATACAATGCTCAGATGTCATATAAAGGGCGAAATATGAGCGGAAAAAACAAGCAAATACAGAATTTAGTAGTTAATGTATTGTCGAGTAAGGTTTTCGAGGATGTATGCTTGAATTTACCACATTAAAGGCACTGTTCATGAAAAAATGGTTTCGGAGATTTGCATATGGTTTGAATTCGACGCCCCCCCCCCC